GAGACTCGAACCCGCAACCTTTGGGTTACGAGTCCGACTCTCTAACCATTAGGCCACGACTTCCCCCAAGTCCATTAAGCACACAGAGCAGCCACCCAACAAAGCATTACAATAATCTAACCTTGAGGTCGCATGAACGCATGAATTAACATTTCTGCATTTGACATATAGGTCGTAGGTCGTAATTTAGATATATTTTTGAGATGGAAAAATGCAGTTTTACAAATGCTAGAAATTCAAAGGAATTCCTAACTGATGATGAAAAATTGACAGAGCAGCCATCAAGTGTTAGACAGTGTTCTAGGTTATTACGTGCGGAGGTTTTAGGTCTGATAATGAACACCTCCTGTTTTTTCAGAATTTAGCAGTAAGAAATTACTCTTCATCCAGTTTTTTTATATCGACTATGCATTCCGTTAGTTTTTCAAATTTGTATGTTTCGCTGGGCCACGAAGAAATATAGAGCTGAGTATCATCAGCACAACCCCGTGTGTCCTGATGATATCTCCCAGGGGTAACAAGTGCACATTCAGTGCAGTTAAGCACTCTTGTTTGTCAGTAGTGTAGTGCTGATGGTGCTGTAAGCATCAGCTGTGATGTTATAGACGCCATTGTTGATGTGTGTGTGTGTGTGTGTGTGTGTGTGTGTGTGTGTGTGTGTCAGGAGTGGATCTGTCCAGTGAGCTGGTGCGGCACTTCCTGATCGAGTGCTCGGCGCGGGGCGTCCGGCTCAAGGGATGCCCTAATGAACCCTACTTTGGTAAGTTCATCAGACCTGTGACTGACTCGTGCTGCTTTCCCTGTAAACTCATCATTCCTGACAGAGGTATTCATCTCTTACTGTTCACTACAACCATCAAAATCACTTCTGTTCATTCATAATAAAGCGTAAATAAAATAAAATACTAACTAAACTAAAAATACTGCCTTGGCAACTAAGTTGAAGTACTAAAATGACAAAAACTAAAACTGAAATAAAAATAAATTTAACTAAATATAATAAAAAATAAAGAATAAATGGAAATCAGCAAATCTTTAAAATGACAAAAAAAATGCAGATTAAATTAATAAATGCTATAATAGTATACAAATAATACTAAAATAATCATCATGTGACACTGAAGACTGGAGTAATGATGCGGAAAATTCAGCTTTAATCACAGAAATAAATTACAATTCAACAGATATTCACATTGAAAACGTATATTTTAAACTGTAATAATATTTCACAATATTACTGTATTTCCGATCAAATAAATGCAGTCTTGGTGAGCAAAAGTGACTTCTTTCAGACTTTTGACCAGTAGTGTATAAGCACTTAAATAAACTCACTGTTCAATTCTGATGAGCTCATTCAGTTGACATTGTGACCCTCTCATGAGCGTATATGATTATTATATGTTCCTGGAGAGACTCAAGCTGGGTGTGATGGTGTGCTGTTGTTTCTCCTCAGATCCTCTAGAGGACGCTGTCAGCGCATCCTCACAGTCCATCACCAACTCTGCGGCTGAGCTCCTCAAACAAGGAGTAGGTGCGTCCAGTAATGATACCTGAGCCGCAATCACTCACTGATTAACCTCACGCTCTCATAATCATGTTTTCCAGCCTGTAACGTGTGGTTCCTGGGTGCGGTGGAGATGGAGTCGCTGACGGGGTTTCAGGCGGTGCAGAAGGCCACCGCTGCGGTCCTGAGCGCCGACTCGCTCCCGTCCTCCACCGTAGTGCACTTCAAAGTGTCCTCGCAGGGAATCACGCTCACCGACAACCAGAGAAAGTAACGCAGCCCTCAAACATTCACGCCTCTGACAGACACTTTTCCCCACAGTGACTTACACAAGTTCACGGGGAACTCAACCCATTAAAGAGCAGGTCATATGCTTTTTTAAAGTGTCCTTATATTGTGTTGGAGTCCCCTACAACAGGTTTAAATGCATCTAAGGTCAGAAAACGTAATTTTCTCAGAATATACATTTAATATTAGAGTCATTTGTCAGTGATTTTGAAACGATTCGTTCGAAGCAGTTCTGAGCTTAAGGTCTGTAAACCCCTCCCTTCCATAAGCCTGCTCAGCTCTGATTGGTCAGCTGGCCAAGTCTGTTGTGATTGGTTCAGAGAGGAGTACCTGAGAAAGTTAGCGAGCGCTACCTTTACACAAAACAATAATATAGTGCTCCAATCCATTCTTAACATAATGACATAAAAAGCATTTTGTTTAACACTTATGCAAGCGAATCGTGCCCACAGCTAAAGTTTAGCTGCTAAACTGTAAACACTTAATAAAACAATAATGATATGTTAGCCGAGTGCTGACGAAACAATACATTGTTTACATTATTGTCTACATTCTTTATTATTAAACAAAGTAATTACAGTCTACATTAATCGACACATTCTTAGGAAATAGTGGGTTCACAGCGGATTATCAGAACTATTTCAGACAGACAGTAATATCGTAGTTTACCTTGAAACCTAAAGCTGCACAAGGTATGCATCACATATTAGCACAAAAAACTTGATATTTTGAGGACTCAATTGAAAATGTACACATAACGTATTAATCATACTTGCAGATTGTGACTCGGAGACGCTTGTTGGTCCAAATACAGAAGGTACGGACTTATCTTTGATGGACAAGCGTTTAGCGAATCCCGTGTTGAACTCTCCAAGATTAGAGAAGCAGTCCTCTGTAAAATGACGAGCAAACAACAAAAGGTTCAAAAACATGGCAGAAAAGCGTGGCGCAGCACTTTTCAAAACATCGCTTTTCAAGATGCACCTGTATATTTGTCTGATCACGCGCAGCAGCGCAAAGCTGATTCTGTGCTTATTTGATCTAATATTTTATGCTTTTTTAAATGTTGTAGATTTAAGCAGCAAATTAGAATCACTAAAATTAATGCATATATTTTGAGACAAAGGTATTCTTAATGATTTTCAGTTTTGTTTAAGATAATTAAAGCAACAGTTTTTAAATAACAAAAGAATATGTAAAAAAAAATGGTGTTTGGGGTAAAAGCGCCCCTGCTGTTGGGGCTAAAGGTACAGTAATTAACATGATAATTAACAGATGGCTGACTTTTCCATTTGTTGACATGACATGGTTAGATTCAGATGGTAAATATCATATATAATGTTGGGTGTCCATATTGGAGATAATCACCATGTTTAGAATGAAACCATCATATTTAAAAACATGACATTAATCGTCTAATAAAATATAATTTGTTGTTACTACTGTAAATATATATTCAATTATTATTGGATCTCCTTCAATGCTTTCAGAATCTTTACTTATTAAAATGATTTTGTTTCTGTATTTTAAAATATATTTTTATATGAACATTTTAATGACTATATTTATTGAACAAAAATTAATACTTTTATTTTTCAGAATAAGCAGAAAATGGTACAAACTTTGCTATTCTTGTTTTGAATAAGTATTAACTTAGACATTATTATAAAAACATTATTTTAGCTGAAGTATTTGTATCAATACTGTGTGCCTTTTACTCTGTGTGTGGGGAGTAAAAATATACATTTATAAGATTTTTAAACAAAATAAACAACTTGAATGATTTATTTTCACACAAAATCTGTTACTCCATTATTGTTCAATACAAACGTATATATTATTTCTGCAATTATACATTTTAGGCGCAGTAAATAGCACATTTTCTTAAGGTGTGCTTTTAGCCCCGTTGTACCGTACTTTTCAAAAACTCATATGACCTGCTCTTTAACTGAATGCAGGAGTGTAAAACATACTCGAAAATAATACTTACAAATCATCAGTTAGGAGTCTTTAGTGACAACTTTAAATTTTACTTGAGTATTAAACAAGTAACATTCACTCTGCTGTTTGTTCATGTATCCGAAGCTGATGAAACTCCACTAACACA